GGGTCCGTGGATTTGCTTGGCTGGTAGAAAGTGACTGAAGCAGTGCATGTATTTTGCAGCTTCCGCTCTTGGTGTCTGGCCGCTGTGGGTCCCTCCCGGTGAGGGATGATGGGAGAGTCAGCACTGTCCATCAGCCATATGACTGAGGTTCTCTTGGGACCCCCCCCCCCCGACCACGTCACGCATCTGATAGCTGTAGATAGTTGAATCATTCCAGGTGAGATCAGAAGAAGTGCCCAGCTGAGCCCAAGGACACTGCTAAACACAGATCCAGGAGCGACTCGAAGGAGGTTATAGAAAGCGACTGCACTGGGTGGCAGAGTGATAGGAAGTAGTAGCTAAGTGGAGTAGTTTTCTGCCATGTATGAGGAATTTCAGTGATTGTAGTAAGCAACAGGACTGGAACATGAGCAGGCAGTCAGTGAACAAGCAATGCAACGGCTGTTGACCTGATGGATTGAATAAGAACTTTGACTCCAAGGTCACAGCCTTCCAGTCCCTGTCCCACCTCAGCACAGTTACTTCAATCTCTTCCGTTCTCAATATCTCTATCTGGGAAATGGGCCAGTTTGACTTTTCGTGGTTTCAAGTACAGTCAACCACAGTCAGAATATATCCAATGAAAAACTCCGGAGAAAAATTCCTGTAAGTTATGAAGTATGGATTTCTCTTAGTGTGCGGAAACCTCTTTTATGATAGCATGTTGCTACAATTGTTCTGTGTTATTAGGGTTGTTTTTGTGAATCCTTTACTGTGAATGATTAATAAAACAAGTTAACATTTATTGATTTGAAAGAGAGAGAGAGATTGATTCTCAGATGGTCAGGATTGGGCCAGACCAAAGCCAGGAGCTGGAAGCTGCTTCCAGATTTCCCACCTGGGTAGCAGGGATCCAGGCATTTGGGCCCTCTCCTGCTGCTTTTCCCAGGCCATCGGAAGGGAGCTGGATTGGAAGTAGAGCAAGCTGAGGCATGAACTGGCCTGCCCGTATAGGATCCTGGTATTGCAAGTGGTGGTTTTACCCACTACACCAAACTCCAACTGTAATAAATCAGCTTTGATCATACACGTGTACACAAGAGGTCTTCGGGAAGTTCTGAGAAAATACACCTTCTGAGAAAAACTATGTACAGATTTTACAAAACAAACTTGTTTTTGTCCAAAATAAGCTTATTCTCAATTTCCATGAATTTTTTTTTTTTTGAGATTCCCCCATATCTATGAAAAAACAGTGTATGGAGTCCTGTTGCTGACTTTACATATCTGCTGTAGGTCTTGGAATGCATCCTTGCTTATAACAGGGGACTCCAGCGTGTAAATACCCTCTGTCCCATGCGCTCCCTGTAAGGAGCCTTACTTGATTCAGGTACCAAGGTTGCTTTTGTTTCCGTTGCTACCATATGACTCAGCTGAACTCAAGGCAGCAGTGAATGCAGGAAGTTAAGATGTTTTAATGAAGGCGATAGAGGGATAAGGTGGGGTGCTCACAAATATGACAGGAGACAGCAAAACTGATTATTATAAATATAATCAGCCAGTTTTTTAAAATAACACTTGCTCAAATATCAAATACTTGATGAGACCTGGCTTTATAAGTAAACCTGTGTGAAAATTCCCAAGTCTAAATCTGATTGACATTTACTGGAAAGGGACTCCTCTGAGTTTGAGATTAAAGATGCTGTTAGTAAAATGGAAGTGACGATTGCCTGTGCGTTCTCTGTTTGTGAAGATCTGTTCTCCAGACTTCCTTTCTATCTTATATAAACATTTTCTCATTCTTACTCATTAAAGACATATGAAAGAACTAATCTGAGTATTGAACAGCATGAGGCAAATTTATTCCAGTGAGAAGATAAGATTTTACTTTAAATGCAGGAAAAGTTGATGTTTCCATGCATTTTTATGTAGCCATTGCAAAAAAACTCACTAGATATTTTTAATATGGAAAATGGTACAGAAACTAGCATCTTTATTGTTATAAGCCAATGAACAGAACCAGTATGTTAAGACCATTTTATCACCACCCTGCAACTATAGGAACAATTAAGTGCAGGGTCAAAAATTTATTCCTAATATGCCACAACTATCAAAAAGCAAAATGTTAGCTTTTGTTCATATAAATGTATGTGTATATATATATATTTTGTGTGCACATACATAAATTGTATATACAAAGAATCTAGAAATTTTCAGAAAAATTATGCATCAATTTAAAAGCTTTTTTTGTGACAAAATGAACCTATCTTTTCATTTCATTTTCCATGCATTTTTGAAGTGTCTTTTTACATAAGTGAATATATACACACACGGTCATTTTTGACACAGTACGATTGTCAAGACGCATTAGAAAAAACACCGATTGTTAAAAGGCTCTTTTCTGTCCTGTGGCTATCCTGGTGACTACCAGAAACTTGGAACACAAGCGGATGCCCTGCAGTGATCTTTACACTGTAAAATAACAAAAACAAACTAAGGATTTTCCAGCCTTGCAACCTCGGATGAGTCCCCTGGCCTCAGTGTCTCCATTAGCAGCAGTGATAAAAGATACTGCCTACTTCAAGGCTTTTTTTTTTTTGGTGAGAATTAAGAAAGTTAACATACTTTAAAGAACAGAGCCTGCCAAATAAAAGGAACTTAATGAGCCTTAAAAACCATAATTTCCATCCTTACTACTCTTTTGTTTCCGGGCTTTTAAGTCAAAGTATATCTCTGATATGATACTAAATAGATTACAGTTTGTAGTACATGGCAACACTTGCACGTTTCTGACCCAGCCAGGCTCATATTTTAGAACGCTTTCAGTAGAAATAGCAACAACAAACATAATGCCAAAGAACTAATTAGCTTCTCATTTGTGAAAAAGGGTTTGAGCAGCTTAGGGTCTCACAAAACTAGCAAATTTAGATGGAGTGAAAATGGGCTTTCCAATTCCTGGTGAAGAGCAGGAGCACAGAGTTCACGTTCTGTCTCCAAATACACCTGCTCCTAGCAAAGCCGCTCTCCAGGGCCTGATAACAACACACTACCAAATGTGTTTTCGCAAACTCCCTCACATGGCAGAATACAGTTTATCTACGGAAGGGCAATAGTTTTGAGAAGTCAGAGGGCCCGAGGGGTAGCCTTGGTGAGAAGGAATATAAAAGTTTTATAATGAGAAATTGCAAAAGAGTAAGATCAGGAGTTCATCATTCCGTTTGGAGGTGTGTGTGTGTGTGTGTGTGTGTGTGTGTGTGTGTGTACCGAGTTGACGGTGTCAGGAAACACTGCCACACGTCCAGCTGCCTGGACTGGGGCGGCAGGTCATCCTAGGATCTGTTTCCACACTGCCCCACGTCTTCCGCCCTCTTGGGGCCGTCTTTTAGCCAAAGCCTCTTTTGAGAATTCAATCCACTTCCTTTCCAGTGGCCACTTCCACCAGCTGCTTCTCTCATTACCTTCCCGCTCAGGCCGAAAAGGCCAAGCCCAGGTTATTCTGATGCTAGCAAACACCTCATAAAGAAATCCGCCAAATTGACTTCTCCACTGAGAATCCGCTTTACGGCTTTTCATGAGTCCGGGGGGAAAGAAAGCATCATCATGTGCAAAATATGACTTCCAGCAATCTTGCAGATAGGAAGGGTTATCCCTGCGGGGTCAGACTAGTGGCTACGCAGTCCAGAACCTTCCATATTCCCACAGGAGTTCCAGCTGACTGTCAATGTGCCTGTTTAGCCACAGGAGAGCGCCCCCCCCCCCAACCTAGGGCCTTTCTGGAAATGTCCCAAATTAAAAAGAAATTTTCGCTTCGAGGTGTACACTTTTTTCACCCCTTTTTTCACCCCTGCTTTTGCATTTGTGTTGCAAGGGTCACCCTGCTTTAGTCTAATGACACCCCGGCAGAGAGAAGCCTCGATGCGACCAAACAAACTTGGAACCTGTGAACTCTGGCAAGGTTCCTGTCCTCTCTCTACCTCCCTGGTAGGGCTGGGATTATATTAAATACGTTAAAGCATACACAGCACTGAAAAGAGCAGTGATACAGGCTCGAGAAAGTGATTTTTTCCTTAAGTGAGAAGTCTTTAGCAGCAGCTTTCATAGAGATGTAAAACACGGATTCGCAAAGACATGGTCTGCAATCTCTTGGGACCCGTGAATAATGCTTACTGCTGCAGAATTAAGGGTTCTAGAGGATGCATGGTGTAAAGAGAATTTTAGGTGCCAGGGAATTCCCGCTGCGGGGGGGGGGGGAGGGGCGGGGGCATCCTGCTCTCTTCTCTCCTGGCCTTAAGTGTCTGTGGTCACACCCCCAAATCCAAGGAAAAGCGCTCTCCCAGGTAGTTGGAGGAAACTCTGGGGGAGGAACCTTCACTGGGGCTCATCTCCTCACTTCCACCCCCCTTCCTAACTCCCTCTTCCCCTTCCCCTCGGCGGCTGCCAGGAAGAGTCGGCCAGGGGCCCAGGTATAGCTGACTCGGCTCCTCTCCCCAAGACAGGTGCCTCAACTCCACGCCTCCTTTCCCCAAGAGAGAGTGTGGGGGCTCCCTGCGAGGCCCCGGGAGAACATTCAAGGCTCCAGAAGGGAGGATGTGTGGCCTGACCTTCGCTCAGGTGGGCAGACCTACCTGAGTCGTTCCTCACATACTGTGGGCTCATTATCCCTTAGGGTCTCCTGCATCCCCCACCCCATCCACCTCACCTGGGGTAACATCGCTCACCTGACACCACTAGCTCCGTAGCACCCCAAGCCGCCCCCTCCCCACCCCAGGAACTTAAACGGAGACAGATTGCGACGGGAGAAGGGGCTCGTGCAGGTTCCCACTCCCTTGCATTCCCCCCTTCCCCACCCGCCCCCCCCCCGTGCCAGGTCCTGTTCGTGTAGTTAACCAGGCTGGACTGCAGCCCAAACAGCCGCCCCTCCGTGGAGCGTAGGACCCGCCTCCTGGCCTCAGGGCTGGCACTGGCCCAGCACCCCACCAGCAGCGTCCCGGCTGCGTGCACGCCCCTCGCCGCGGCGCACTCACCTGGAGCTGGGGCCCGCTGGCGTTGGCCGCAGCAGCGTCCGGCCCGTCGGTGGCTCCGGAACCGCGCAGCACCGTGATGTGCAGCGTGAGCAGCAGCAGCCCAAGCAGCAGCAGTAGTTCGGCCGCCAGGCGCACCATCCTCTTGAGACGCGCGGCTTTAGGACCGCGCGCGGCGGGAGGCGGCGGCGGTGGCGGGGCCGGAGGAGGTGGAGTGGGAGCCCGGGAGGCCGGCAGCGCGGCTCCCGCCTCGGTCCCCGCAGAGGCCTCGGTCCTTGCGCCCGTGGGGCTGCCACTGGGCGCGGCGGGGCGCACCGGGCAGGGGGAGCAAGAGCCGCCACCACCACCATCACCATCGCCGCCGCCTCCGCCGCCGCCACCGCAGCCTCCGCCACACCACGGCGGAGCCACCGCGGGGCCGGGGGCGTCCAAGGCTGCTACAGAGCAAATCCCGGCGCTGCCTGGCGGCGGCAATGAAAACCTGGGATTGCCCGGGACCCGGGCCCGGCCAGGGGCCACCCTGCAGGCAGGGGGCTGCGGGGGCTGCGGCGGGGCGGGCGCAGCCGAGCCCCCGAGCGCACATGGGCGCCCCAGATGTGGCCGCGGCGCCGCAGCTGGAGCGGGAGCGGTCGCCAGAGGAGCGCCGAGAGGAGGAAAAGGAGGAGGAGGAGGAGGGCTTCTGTGGCGCCCGGAGTTACCTTCGTGCTTGGCTCTCCGCCCTCGCTGTCCAGAGCCACTCACCCGGAGAATCACCCCCCTCACTCCGCTCCTCCCGGCCGCCCGCCTCGCCTCGCTGCCCGGCAAGCTGAGTCCTAGGGTGGGCTGGCTCCAGAGAGGGGCCCAGGACACGTAGAATTTGTCACTGTTTGGAGGGTGGCCCGGAAGCTCCGGTGGCGCCTGCGTTCGCCTGCTTCGGCTATGCCAAGGACCGCTGTGGCCGGCGAGGGCAGAGCCCCGGTGCGCCCTGTGGCTTGGGGCTGTGATGGGTGAGGGTGCCTGCGCGAGTTTGGAAAAAGCTTTATTGGCAAAGTGGAGCTGGAGTTGTAGTGATGGAGAACGGAGGGGGCGCCGGACAAGCCAGGTGTCTGAGACTATGAGCCCTTGCCTGACACGGGGCCGGTGGTACAGAAATGACAACGTGTAGTTCCGAAAGACTGTTGTTTCTTGACACTGGTTCTTGAATGAGGGGCCTCCGGGTGTGTGGACAAGCTGTAGGCGCGTCCAGGACGCGCTGTAGAGCCCCGGGAAGGAGGGGAGTGGGATTCACTCCGTGTTGGCCCGGTCCGGCGCGCAGGTGCCGCGGCGGGAAGCTGCTGGTTGGTGGTTGTCCCTGGGCTGGGCTCAGGCACTCAGGACATGGACGAGGCACTGAACGTGGATCTCGGCTCTGGTCTTCTCATCCCGGGGGCGCTGCTCCCGGAGAGGATTGGGGAGCTGCGGTAGCGCAGCCCTTGCTCCTGGGCCACCGCCTCATGACCGCGAGGCAGCCACCTCCCGAGAGCCACTCATGCCTTGAGCAGGGGGCAGCTGATGAACCTAAGCGCTCCTGGATCCTGGTCTGGGGCACTAAGAGTCACCTGAGTCCCGCGGTGGTGGGCTCGCGTTGGTGCAGTAGCAGCGCACGTTTCTTTTCCAGTGGATCTTGCTCTGGCTCCTGCCCTCCAGAAGTGGCTGCGAGTGGCGAGGCGCCGGAGAAGGCTGGTGCCTTTTATACCTCCTGGCGCCCGCCTTCCAGCCCGTTTCCTCCCAGCCTCCTCCCCTTCCCCAGCACAGCCCTTCCCTCGCGGAGAGACCAAACCAAGCGGCCTCAAACATCCCTTTCACACTCCTCCAAGCCTTCTTTGCCTCTCAGATCCCAGCAGCTCCTGGATGGATCCTTTTGGGGGTGGAGGATTCTTCCCTTTGCAAATAAAATTAAACAAAACTTTCCTGACAGCCCGGCCCCACCCCTCTTTTGGCCCTCCTTTTAAAAAGTCTTAGAAAACGTGCAGATTCTGAGTTCATTCACTTTCCAAGCGTGTGGCATCTTTCCGCAAGGCGTCCCATCCAGGTCGCACCCACGTTAAGATCAGAAGCGTTTTCACTGTTCGGAAAGTTTCTCAGATCAAGGTGGCATTTACAGCCATGGTGAAAGCACGCTGTCTGGTTTATTCGGGTCTGGGGTTAAGACTCTTGAAACGGAAGACTTACCCGGACCAGGATCTTGTTAATAAATTGACAGCAGTTCACAGAGCGCGAAATCTTCCTCCTTCCCCCCTTTTCTTTTCAGCAATGTTTTTGGAGGGAGAGAAAGACAAGATGTGTAGAGGGCATGCCTGCTAGGGCTGGTCAGGCAGCCAGCCGGTCCTGTCAGGCAGGCTGCAGGCTCTAATTGTCCGCTGGTGCTGAAAGGAGAGTTGGAAAGAATAGACTGTTCGGAGGGCAGATCGACAACCAGCAGCTTTCCTGGCATGCGAGGATCCTGGCGGGTGTCTTCTGAGGAGAATTTCCTCCGAAGGGATCGTGAACGGATGGAGAATGAACACGGAGGGGTGTGTGTATGTGTGTGTGATGACCTGAGGCTTGAAAGATGGCTCTAAACCCACACTGTGCCCTGGTCATGATATGGGCACACTGGAACGAGAGGTTTTCCTGTGGTCAGACGCAGGGTGGCATAGCTTTTGACCCACAGGCTGCTGTGTCCTGCCCTTTCTTCACACCCAGTCCCCACACGTGAACTGCAAACATCTCTGTTTCGTTTGAAAGTCATATATATGTATATGTATATATATATATTTATTCTATGGGAAATGAGTGTAGGAGTGGGGTAAGAGAGATGAAGGACATTTTGAAAACTCTGGCAAGAAATTCTTGCAATGAATGCAAGTTCTTGTAAAGTAAATGGGGATTTAGAGATCAAAGTCTTCTGTAAAATGTTGTAAAAGTGTAAATTGAATTGGGGGGGGGACACTTTTTATAAAGTGTCCAGTGAGTGCATTTTTGAATCCTACTAAAACTCCCTTCCCACTGGGGGCTCCTCACTCCAGGTGAGTGTGTGTACTGGGGCATGTGTATTGTGTATTGATAAACATCGGTGTGCGGAGACAAGCTTACCTGCAGAGCTCTGCTTCAGACCCACTCAGGGGCACTGACTTACAATTTGGGGGCAAAAGGAATTCCAACTTTAGTAGTACATGCAGGATACATTTTGGAAGCGCATTCAGAAACTGTACATTGAAAGCTGATGGAATATTTTCAGATCCTGACTTCACCTTCAGCGTCGCATTCATGTCTTTATGATTGATCTTATTGTATGCAAACACCATGTTCCTGTTTGCTTGTCTGTCTTCCACCAGCGGTGGGGTCAGCGGTGGTAGGAGGTTTCAGAAACACCTTACCTCTATCTCTTGTAACCAATTTTCCCTTTCCTCAATCTGTAGCCAGAGCCCTGCTCTTTCCAGTCTGGCCATAGAACATCTTAAGTGATGAGCCACATGCTCTCTCTGCTTCAGAGTGTTTCCACCCCCCATTCTAAGGTTGACAGAGCCCTGTTCTTACTGCTCAAAAGAGGCTACTGGACCAGGAACATCTGTGTTTAACTTTACACGCGCGAGATATACAATATGTCCACACACTGTGATTTAGGGGTGTTCGTTGAGCAGCTAGTGTTACTTGAATTATTAATATTGCTTGAGGGGCCCCACATTGTTAAGCTACCACCTGCAATGCCAGTATCTCAGTTGGGCACAGAGTCAAGCCCCAGCTTCTCCACCTCCAATCCAGCTCCCTGACAATGCCCCTGGGAAGGCGGCAGAAGATTAACCGAGTGCTTGTGCCACTGCATTCTTGTGGGAGACATGAAAGAGACTCATGGCTCCGGGTTTTGACCTGGGGCAGCCCTGGTGGTTGTGGCCATCTTGGTAGCGAGCCAGTAGATGTACAATCTGTGTGTGTATCTAGTGCTATATTTTCAAATAGAATAAAATAAAATTAAAAAAAATTTTTAATCATATATTTGAGAAGGAGGGAGGGGGAATATTGGGAAAGCGAGAGAACAAACTTCCATCTGCTGGCTCCCTTCCTAGGTGCCCACGTTGGGCTATGGCTAAGGTCAAGGTTGGGAGCTAGACACTCACGTTGGAACTCTCATGTGGGTATCAGGGACCAATGACTTGAGATGTCTGCACAGTCTCTGGGCTTGCATCAGCAGGAAGCTGAAAGTGGGTCTCAAAATCAGGCACTCTGCCTTGGGTTACAGGCATCTCCAGTGGCTTCCGAACCACTAAGCCAAATATCCACCCCAATGGGTATTTTGTTGTTGTTCATTTTACTCTAGCCTCCTTCCTCATTTTACTCTTTTTTATCTAAAGATTTATTTATTCAAAAGGAAGAGTGGTGGGTAGGGGAATAAATGGAAAGAGAGAGAAAGAATCTCTCCCACCTGCTGGTTCAATCCCCAAATGGCAACAATGACTGGGGACAGTGCTAGCCGAGGCCAGGATGCCGTTCTGTCTGGGTCTCGCACGGATGGAGGACAGGCGCCCCGATGCTTGGACCATCTCCCCCTGCTTTCTCAGGAGCTTTCACGGATGGCTGGAGCAGAAGCAGAGCAGCTGGCACTTGGACCAGCAGTTTGTTATGTTGCACCACAGTCAGTTTGTCTTATAATTCCATTTTCCATGAAGCACTGGAAGTTTGTCATCTGTGCTTTACTAGAAATACGAGAAGTAAAAGCCCAGAGACCTTTTCTAAATGTAGAAATCACCAGAATTTAGGCATCGTAGTAAAATGTTGTGTGTTCACAAGACATGCTTTCTCTTCTTTCTGGACGTACCAGCAGACCACATTTCCTAATCTCCCTGGCAGCTGGGTGCAGACATGTGACTGAGTGTAGGCCAGCAGAATGTGGAATGGAGTAGAGAGTGCTTTGTACAGATCTGGCCCATGAAAATCCTCCTCCTTGGGCTGCTCTCGCTCCTTTGCTTGCCGTCCTCGTGTTTCTGCCTAGATTAAACTTAGAGCAGTCATCAGCCTGTGTCGTAAGGAACACCCTGTGTTGGCTGTTGTGTGGTTGAGAGAAAAAGACATATATATCTATATTACACATTATATTTTATATATTATAAAAATATATAGTATTTTACATACTTTTTGTATTTACA